AAGAACTTTCAATAGTTGGATAAATAATGGCATGCACCAATTTTATCTCTGAAATTAACGTGTGACTCACGAATATGTTTGGCTAATTATGATGGCTTCATTATCTCAATATTTCGTACTGATAATGTGTTATAAAATTTTACTAACTTAAAAGAGTAACAATATAAAACAAGAAAGTAGACAAGAAATGAGAGACACGAGAAGAGAGCTTTCTTATATTTTCAATAAGTGTTTCTCAAATCTTCAAATGCGTATACAATATGACTTATTATTCTTTATTTATAGTATTGCATAGAGGCATGTAGACAAAAAATAATATTATATACATGACATTAAGGAGAAAAATCATGGACAAGTGGGAGTTGCTTGGATGATAAGCGCAAAATAAAAGCTTCTAGGGGCGGGGTAAAAATAAATACTTCCTCTGTTCAATAATAGTTGTTCACTATTGACTTGACACACGTCTTAAGAAACAATAAATAATAGGGATAATATTACTATTTTATCCTTTGACTTTATTAAATTTAATATTTTTAAAAAGTGTGTTGGATGAGAAATGTGGGAGGGAGGTGAGACGTAAGTCCCTCAGCATGAGGCGTACACCTCATGAATCTTTAATTTTTTTTAACTTATGATATAGTAAATTAAAATTGTATAAATCCATAAAAAATATAGAAACTCTTAGGCGAGCACTGGACATTAAGCATGTTTAGAGGTTTACCGTCGACACTTAAAGGCATAAGCCTCACATAACTAATCCCCACACGTAAACCTCAAAGCGTTTTGTCAATACCTCACCCTAGATGAGTCCCAAAATTACCTTTTAAAACACTAATTAAATTTCTTGGATAATCCTTTATTTATTTCATCAATCAATATCAAGAGGAAAAGTGTAAAATTACCCCTAGTTTTTTCTCCCAACAACCCAAAGCAACTCCAAACACTATCCTAAATCCACCAACCCCACCAAAATCTTCTCTTTTTTCAATAAAAAATAAATTAATCCAATGTTGCATGAATTAATCACGTTATCCTCAAATCTCAACCGTTAATTACACTTAAAATTCACCACTTTTAATCTTTACGTACCAACATTTGTTCCTCTATTTATACTCACCACACGTGCCTTCTATCACAACCAAAAAAAGAAAAAAAATCAAAACATTTTTTTTGTTATAAGTAAATTCCATTTTTCTCTTAAGTTTTTCAATTACAATTCTAGCCATTTTCTTGATCCAATGGCCTCATCAATTGCGCAAAATGTACATGTCAATGTTCATGATCCATTAAATTGGGAAATGGCTGCTGAATCTTTAAGAGGGAGTCATTTGGATGAAGTGAAAAAGATGGTGTATGAATTTAGGAAGCCAATTGTGAAACTTGAGGGTGATAATTTGACTATTGGACAAGTTGCATCCATTGCAAATGCTAATAACAAAACTAGTGGGGTCAAAGTGGAACTTTCTGAAAGTTCAAGGGCTTGTGTGAAAGTTAGTAGTGATTGGATTATGGATAGTGTCAGTAAAGGAAGAGATATTAATGGTATTACTACTGGTTTTGGTGCTAATTCTAAAAGAAGAACAAAAAATGGAGGTGGTCTTCAAAAGGAACTTATTAGGTAAATTAAACAACTTAATTTTCATCTAAATTTTTTGATATATATACTGATAGTGTAAATATTTTTTTTTTACATTTTTCGAAATAGCTTGTCGACTACCTTGTTTTTTCGGATCATTGATGATTATGACGGTACTTGTAGAATTTTAGTTATTCTTCGTGTGATCTAATAGTGTAAAGACTTTTATAACTCTCTGTGTTATGTCGATTATCTTATTTTTTGTGTTTTTGTCAGTACATACTTTATAATTATTTTTCATATGATCTGATAACATAAAAATAAAATTATATTTTCTGCTGTCAGTTTGATTCAAATAATAGGGTGCTCTTCCCCGAAGTATCGACATATGCTCTATTGATGACACTTGTTATATTTTGTATATAGTTAGTAGAATTCAGTTCAAAATCTAATCTTGATGACACTAATTTTACAGGTTCTTGAATGCTGGAGTATTTGGCAATGGAACAGAAACTTCTCATACATTGCCACATTCAGCAACAAGGGCTGCTATGCTTGTTAGGATCAACACTCTGCTTCAAGGCTACTCTGGCATTAGATTTGAAATCTTGGAAGCAATTACAAAGTTGATCAATAGTAACATCACCCCGTGTTTGCCCCTCCGTGGCACGCTCACTGCCTCGGGTGATCTTGTCCCTCTATCATACATTGCTGGTTTGCTCATTGGTAGGCCTAATTCCAAGGCTGTTGGACCCAATGGTGAGATCCTTAATGCTGAAGAAGCGTTCCGCGTTGCTGGTATTAGTGGTGGATTTTTCGAGTTCCAGCCTAAGGAAGGACTTGCAATTACAAATAGCACAGCAGTTGGTTCTGGTATGGCATCAATTGTCCTGTTTGAGTCCAACATTCTTGTTGTAATGTCTGAAGTTTTGTCAGCGATTTTCGCTGAAGTGATGAATGGAAAGCCTGAATTCACTGACCATTTGACACACAAGTTGAAGTATCATCCTGGTCAAATTGAGGCTGCTGCTATTATGGAACACATTTTGGATGGCAGCTCTTATGTGAAGGCAGCTCAAAAGCTTCATGAAATGGATCCTCTTCAAAAACCAAAGCAAGATCGTTATGCTCTCCGAACATCTCCACAATGGCTTGGTCCTCAAATTGAAGTCATTCGCGCTGCAACTAAGATGATTGAGAGGGAGATTAACTCAGTGAACGACAATCCATTGATCGATGTTTCAAGAAACAAGGCATTGCATGGTGGTAACTTCCAAGGCACCCCTGTTGGTGTCTCTATGGATAATACAAGATTGGCTCTTGCATCAATTGGGAAATTGATGTTTGCTCAGTTCTCGGAACTTGTCAACGACTATTACAACAATGGGTTGCCATCTAATCTCACAGGAGGAAGGGATCCAAGCTTGGACTATGGTTTCAAGGGAGCTGAAATCGCGATGGCTTCTTACTGCTCAGAACTTCAGTTCTTGGCAAATCCAGTGACTACCCATGTCCAAAGTGCTGAGCAACACAACCAGGATGTGAATTCCTTGGGCTTAATCTCAGCTAGGAAAACAGCTGAGGCTGTCGATATCTTGAAGCTAATGTCATCAACCTATGTAGTGGCACTTTGCCAATCTATAGACTTGAGGCATTTAGAGGAGAACTTGAAGAATGCAGTTAAGGACACAGTTAGTCAAGTATCTAAGAGAACTTTGACAATGGATGCTAATGGTGAGCTTCATCCAGCAAGATTCTGTGAAAAGGAATTGCTTCTAGTCGTGGACAGGGAATACTTGTTTGCCTATGCTGATGATCCTTGCAGTTCCAACTACCCTTTGATGCAGAAGCTGAGACAAGTCCTTGTTGATTATGCAATGAAGAATGGTGAAATTGAGAAGAATGTGAATAGCTCAATCTTCCAAAAGATTAGAGCTTTCGAGGACGAATTAAAGGTTGTGTTGCCTAATGAAGTTGAGAATGCAAGAGTTGTTCTTGAAAGTGGCAACCCTTCAGTTCCTAACAGGATCACAGAATGCAGATCATATCCATTGTACAGGTTTGTAAGGAAAGAACTTGGAACAGAATTGTTGACAGGAGAAAGAGTCCGATCTCCCGGCGAGGATGTTGACAAGGTGTTCACAACATTGTGCAATGGACAAATCATTGATCCATTGTTGGAGTGTCTCAAGAGCTGGAATGGTGCTCCTCTTCCAATCTGCTAAGTGTTTGCTTGCAAAAAATGGACCTTCTTTTTGGAAGTAATGGTGAAAAAGATGTCTTGTATTTGGATTTGTCTTTGTTTTTTTCTTGCATATGTTTGTTTCAGGTTGTATAGACATCTCTTTTAACACAAGACAACAATAAATATGTTTCAGTTTCAAATAAGTTGGGTCGGTTATATGAATCTTCATTTCTCCATTAAAGTTCAATTCATGTCATCTCCATTTTGTGTTAGGAGGATTCATCAAATGAATTGACAAGTTTTACAATGGTTGCCAACCTACCGCTTGATACCGGCAATGCGAGCGCTCACATAGGTTGAGTTTCATTTTAGTGTAACACAACAATAACCACGCTTCAGTCCCAAACAAGTCAATATCAGCTATATGAATCATTATTTTTCAAAGTTTCACTCATATCATCATCATTTTGTATTAGGAAGATTTATTATGAATTGACAATGCTTGTTGCCAACCCTACCACAACCTTCCTTCTATACTCACGTAATTTCATTTTAGCACAAGAAATTAAACAAAAATAATGAACAGTTCAGAAAAAAAAGAATGGCAATGGGTACCAAAAGCTGAATGTTTATTGGTTGACATCTGAACCTGTAACAAATATCAGGTTTTCCTCACATATGAAATTAAGATACTTTCAACTGGCTGTAAACATCGAGTGTGAATAAGATTTTTTCGTGCTCAAATGATCGTGATATAGTCAATGGCATAAAAGACCATGAAGCTAGCGCTCATATCGACATACAAGAAATAAGACATTGTTTCAACAAAGCTACTGTTTTCTCTGACAGCATATCTTCAAAAAAACTGTAAAAAAATTATAGGCAATTTCATTCCTGTTAGATCAAATATTCAATAGGTATGAAGCCAAAAGTTTCAAAATAAATGGGTGAAAGGAATCATTACCTGTACACTAGTACTATATTCAGTGCCTAGAATTCCTAGAAATTTGACAAGCCTGATCTGTAACTCAACATTCTAGAGACCAGCAAAAACCCCGAACTTCAGAGCAAAGTGACCAAATTTAGCTTCCTGTGCCAAGCTAAGACTGGTATTGTAATTCACCACTATAGGTCACATCAAAAGATGAGAGAGTCCAGCTATCAACTCGAGCTAGACCTAATATATGATGCCCTGGATATCGAAGCAAATTTCTGCTGGCAGTGCACCATTCATTGGAAAATCGGTCCTCTTTGATCATCGAATGAGAAGTTTCATCACCTTCATTGTGGACTATATTGTTGGTATTTCCACGAGGTGACTAAAAGTGTGGTGTAAGCGCTACAACAGGCTGGAATTCAAAGAATTCATTATTGGCAGTGGTCTAAAATGTAGCAGATGTGGAGCTGGTCTCCGTTGTACATAGCCTGCTCCAGGCCTCGCTGCATACCTCGAAGTTTGGATCGAGAGTTGACTTGGTGTAAGGATGACAGACTGATAGTTTGGTGTTGGGGTCAGACGTGAACCACTTGTTGGCAGATCAGCAGCGGATGTTGTTTGCAAGGTGGCCCTTGCACTTGTCCGTCGAACTACAACTAACTCTTCAACTCTAGGCAATTCAGCATTCAGAGATGGAATGGCAGCCATTGGAAAATTCTCAGAGTATATTTGAGGATCAGCAGCTCGTTGCTCGGAGTTGACAGGTTCTGAGATGGATGCAGCAACTGCTGGGACACTACTTGGTCTGTTTGGTAATGATTCTCCAGATCCGTTAATAGTCCTCCCAACAACATCTGGAGAAAAGCACACACTATAGACATCATTTATAAAACTAGACAAAGTATCCGAGAGACAGGAAATGTTTAAAGTTAATAGAATCCGAAAGTAATAGAGCTTGAGATGTTATTTATCCTAATTATATTTCACATTTATATCCCAAAGTTATATCAAAAGACTAGACAAGTTCAGGCTCTGTGGATAGACAGAATCAGAACAGAGAAAAAGGAGAAATATGAGACTATAGTTTTATATTTGAACATTTTGTCCACTGCTAACAATAGGATTTCTAAAATGCTTGGCTCCACTAACAGATTGATTGAAGTGCTTTCTTTTAAAGCATATGCAACTGCAGATACCATAGTTATAATCAAGAGATGAATCATTAGGAATGCATACCTACAGTCATCTCCAGTGGCCCAACTGAATCAGCAGTATCTTGTACTTGTGTCATGGCTTCGGCTAGTAACTTATGCACATGCACTTTGTTGAAGATCGTATCAAGATCTTCTTGCTTTTGAGATAATTCCATTTCAGCAATCTGAAGCAGCAAATCATACTTCTTCATAATTGAATCTAGCTCTTTTTCAAATTCAGATTGCAGGAGCAATTTCTGCATAACAATTATAAATGAACCTTAAGTTGTCTTTGCACTGTGAAGCATTGCCATAATTAAATTTAAAAAATAAACAATAAATGATAAGGCACAAATGAACAAGAAAAGGACAGAGGTCGGAAGGACAAACCACATCTTCATGCAATTTCGTAATTTGTTCTCTCTTCTTTTGTATCCTCTCCATCTCCATATGAGGATAGGTGTGTTTGGAGAGGCATCGGGGCGGCATTGATCTTCGTGGCTGTTTCTGCTTTTCATACTTGTACCATTCACTGCACCAATACTCGCATGTTGTTGCAGTGGCAAATTTCCTATAGACCGCTGAATAGAAGAGTCTATTGACCAATTCATGGAATCTAAAATCTGGTGACCGGAAGAATTAATACAAATCTCATGGCTCTGATGATTGTCTTTAGTTGGTTTATCACACTGAGGACTACGATTAGTTGCAAGACGCCTGCATTTATTCTTATCACCAGCAGAAAGATGAGATGTTCCTAGAAAATGGGATTGGCATCAAAAACCAAATATGTCAGTGCCTGATGATAAAAGAAAATTACCGGGAACAAAGACATAAATTAGGCACTACATACCAAGTTTACCCTGGACATGCAATTTCCATTTCTTCCTTAACTTGGGCTCTGGAGTAAGATGAACTTTATTGCCCTCTTTTTCAGAAACTTGTTCCCCTTTAGATGGCTGATTCAAATCACCCTGGAGTCTAACTTTCCTTCTATTCCCTCGTGTTGGACTAGGCGAGTGTTTCCACCTAGGAACCCTTCCATGCACCAGATTTGTCCAGAAAACGTGGGGAGATTCATTCTCCAGCAATCCTCTCACAAAAGAAGAATCATCCATTTGTTGCATTTCCAGTTCACCAAGTAGAGATTTTTTACTTGGATAAGTCCCACCATTCGGCTGTACTTTCAATATCTTTGAACAGCTGTTATAAACACTGTTCTCACAGTTACTAGACAGTAAGCCTAAGCATTCAGCAACGACATCATCTAAAGCAGCAACTTCAGATGATCTCTTTGAGATTGAAGATTGTACATGGAAACAATCAAGCATATTGAAAAGATAAGAGGCACCCCAAGTTAGCAGCACATGGCAAGCGGCTTGTTTCATATTCTCTATATTACTGTCAATTGTCAGACCTTGCTTTGCAAGAATTAGTGCTTTCTCTTCAACAGTAAAACATGAATATAGACGTAATACCTTTATATGCTCCGACTGTGAATAAACTGTAATCTTCTGCAGGGATCTTAAATCATTATTTGGGTCCCAGTCACTGTTAAACAAAATAATTATATCTATTCCCGAAAGCTTGACACTGGGAACACAAGCACGAGTTTCCATCAAAACAACAAATTTCCCACTTCCTCCCTTATTGTTGAACTTGTTCAAGGTAGCTTCCTTCATTTTACGAGTAACATTCCCACTAATGCTCGTATAAGAATCCCCACCAAACTTCCGATAAATAAAATCATCCAAGATATCCCCAATGGAAATAACACCAGAGCCACCAAGAGACTGTAACATTATCAACATAGAATCAGTTAACTTTACAAACATTGGCACTAGCCCTTATGCAAAGTATTAGGAGACAAATAAAACAAGATCACATGTGTATTAGAGCAAATCCAACAATTAACAATCAATTCAATCTTTTCGAAAGACCATTTCCTGACGGCTATATACATCTCCACAAATAAAAATAAGAAAGAACATACAAGAGAGCTCCAGGGGGGGGCTAATCATCATTTATATGGTCGCATGCAGTCACTTGGGGATATCAAAGTCACATATGGAAATCGGAAAAGAACTAGAATGAAAGAAAAAGTTGAAGTAAATGCAGATACCCGGAAAAGAACGAGGACTCTTTGTCCTTGCTGTTTGATCTCCTGAAGAATTTTATTGAGGAGTTCCAATTTGCCACTTAGTTTAATTTCAGCATCAAAGTGCTGATCTACAGGAATGCCATCCATAACTACGTCTTGCAGAGATCGATCTTCGAGGTAAGGGTGATCACAACACTAAAAACAAAGTGAAAGTCCACGTCAGAGATATGGTGATATGTTACACACAAAACCTAAAGGTATTACATTTTAAGACTGAATTACAGGAAGCTAAAAAAGTCGAACCAGACCGAACATTCCTGGTAGATACTAGAATATCGCAGAGGGAGCTTGGTGAGTCATTCTTCAGACATGAGCAAAGCCATGCTGAATTTGAAAAGAGGCAAGCGCAATATTGCTCAATTTGTTCATTGGAGAGTTTGACAGGAACCCTGTATTCAATGAACTAGGAAGCGGAGGACTTGCACTCATATGCAACAAAGTGTTTAAGCCTTTCCTTGAATTCAGTTAGATCTATGTCAGAATCAGTGTCTAACAGCTTATTGTTGGCCTCGTCATGTTTCGGATCAAGAAAAGAGAGAATGTTGCAACGATTGAACCTTCTATCAGATCTATCCTGATACATCTAAGAGACATAAGTTACTGTAGATACTTGGGAATCTATTCAGAATAGAAAAATGCAAACCTCTAGTTGACGAAAAATAAGTAATCTCATATCAGCAATGAGCACTTTAAGTTGTGAGTGATGCATTGACATGGAAGAACCCTGACACTGATCTATAATTACTGCTCCCCAACCTATTGGTCTAAGCATTTCAAGATCCTGCATGAGGATAAATGTTAAATATAGATCAGAAAAATATTACACTGTATCTGCACCCCCGACTAATGGGTTTAAGCATTTCAAGATTCTGCATATAAGTTAAGAAACTGGACCTTATCACAACCCCAAACGCTAGTCCATGAGGTGAGGATTGTCCAAAACCATATAAGGAGACCACAACTCATTCCATCAACCAATGTGAGACAATCTAACATCCCAGGCACGCCAAGTGCTAGACATCGGGAGGATGGACAATATAACATGGGTACCCAACATTAAGTAAACGAAAGATAGAAATGGGTCTAACTCTGATACCATGTAAAAAAATGAATCAAGAACCCAACTCAACCCAAAAGTTAGGCCAGATGAGGACTGCCTAAATCTATACAAGGAGACAACAACTCATTCGATCAACTAATGTGGGACAATCTAACAATAAGGATAGTGCTATATATAGGTCAGAAAAATTATCACCCAGTATCTGCTTCCCAGCTACGGGATTGGGCATTTCAAGATCCTACATAAGGATGAATGCTAATATAGATCAGAAAAACTATTATACCATACTGCAATGTGACTGAATACAATGTGGGGTAATCATTTAAGGTGGAGCACAACTTTCGAAAAAATCCATCTTGAGAAATAAGACATGAATACTTCATCTCTCATTGTAAGTCATATGGCAAACAAATGAAAACGAAAAAAAAAAAAGGTTTACCTCAACAATAGCATCATAACATGACAGGAGAACCTGAAACATAAGGGCACCTTGTTTGTTGTAAAAGGGCACCTTGTTTGTTGTAAAACTCGAGTGTCCTAATAATGGCCCGTATATCTCTATTACCTTTGTACACAACAATGTTAGCATAACCCCAACGTGAGAACTCAGCTTCCCACAGAAGAAGAGCAGCAGAAGTTGTGATTATGAGAAAAGGAAGACCAACATCCTTGGGCAAGGACAATAGAAATAAGACCACCTTCAAAATTCGTTCCTGTGAATTATAGACATTGAACAGTTCAGCTCCAGTTAATTTTTTAGACTCAAAAGAAGGAGCAGCAGGCATTTATAATAGGTAAAAATCTTGGAGGATCAGATTACAACAAAAGAGAAATTGGAGAATCATCAGCAAGCTTGAAACTCAATGTATCAGAATGTATGAATGACTTGAAAAGAAATGGAGGTTCAGCAAAATTCCAAAGGCTGAAACCTCTGTAGTGCAAAGGAACGAAATTCAGACAGCAGAGGCCACAAGCCTGCTACTGTGTTCATTGGAACTTTAGATAGAATTTGGCTGCATAGTTGTAGTTGCAAAGAGGATGTGTGCATAAGAAGGAGAATTGGAAAAGCATCCACCCACCTGGTCATCAATGATGACAACACTCTGACCCTTTTGCCAATATTTACGAAGACTGTTGATAAAAGAAAGATGATTGCTATAGACTTGAGGTGCACTTCCAAATAAAGGCGTCGGTAGTTCTGGAAAGTTGGCTTTCCTTTTCTGCAGGAATATTGGAAAAACATGACCTCATTTAGGCTACAGAATTACAAACACAATAAAAACGCGTTGGACAGTTAACATTTTTCCCTTTCATTGGTTACCTTAATAAGGAAGAAACTTCAGAAGCAAAATACTTTTGACAACAAGAAATTTGAAAATACTTTTTGTGGAATAAGATTATTGAATAATTTCATTCATTTCTTTCTATGTCATGTACATGGCTTTATATATACATAAAAGATTGTGGAATAGAATCACCTAAATCTTTACATTAAGAGAAAGAATCAGAGATGTGATATTCTAGATTACCACAATTATACTAAGATCTTAGAGGATCATATCTTGATATGAAGAATATCTTCTCATCTTAAAGGATCACATCTTTGATGACAAGAATATCTTCTTGGAAATCCTCCATCAGCCAACACTCCCCCTCAAGCGGGTGAATGGATATCTTCCATTCCTAGCTTGCTTATTAGATCTTGAAACATATTGTTTGGCAGTCCTTTTGTTAAAACATCAGCAACCTGATCTTTTGTAGATACAAATGGCGTACAAATGAGTCCGTTATCTAATTTCTCCTTAATGAAATGTCTGTCTATCTCAATATGCTTAGTGCGATCATGTTGTACAGGATTATGAGCTATACTTATTGCTGATTTATTGTCACAATATAGCCTCATAGGTCCTTCCCATCTTATCTTCAAATCATCAAGGATTATCTTTAGCCATAACAACTCACAAACTCCCATCGCCATGGATCTAAACTCAGATTCTACACTTGATCTAGCTACTACATTTTGTTTTTTACTCCTCCAAGTCACCAGATTTCCTCCTAAGAAGGTGCAATATCCAGAACTTGACCTTCGATCCACTAATGAACCAGCATAGTCCGCATCTGTATAAGCCTCTAAAACCATGTTTCCTCCTCTTTTGAATAATATTCCTTTTCCTGGACTTCCTTTAAGATATTGTAGAATCCGGTTGACAGCTTGAAGATGCATTTCTCTAGGATCATGCATAAATTGGCTAACAACACTTACAACAAATGTAATGTCCGGCCTTGTATGGGACAAGTAAATCAATTTCCCTACAAGCCTTTGATACAAGCCTTTATCTACCACTGAATCTTCTGGAGCATTGCACAATCTATGATTGTATTCAATTGGTGTAGCCACTGGTTTACACCCTAATTTTCCTGTTTCTTTCAACAAATCAAGCACATATTTTTGTTGGGAAATAAAGATTCCTTGTTTTGAGTGTGCCACTTCGATTCCCAAAAAATACTTTAATTTCCCAAGCTCTTTGATATCAAATTCCTTGAGTAAACACTTCTTCAAATTTTGTATCTCTTCTGAATCATCACCTGTTACTATGATGTCATCCACATAAACCAACAATGCTGTCACTTTTCCTGTTTTTGAGTGTCGTATGAACAAGGTGTGGTCTCCTTGACTTTGTCGGTACCCTCGCTTGATCATAACCTTTGTAAATCTTCCAAACCATGCACGAGGTGATTGCTTTAATCCATAGAGTGCCTTCTTCAGTCTACACACCATTCCCTTCTTGCTTTCAAAAGCAGGTGGCACCTCCATATAGATCTCCTCATCTAAGTCTCCATGTAAAAAGGCATTTTTTACATCAAATTGTTGTAGGTTCCAATTAAAAACTGCAGCCAATGATAACAAAATTCTCACTGTATTCATTTTTGCCACTGGGGCAAAAGTCTCCAAATAATCAATTCCATAGGTTTGTGTATAACCCTTTGCTACCAAACGTGCTTTATATCTTTCTATGGACCCATCTGACTTATATTTCACAGTAAACACCCATCTGCACCCGACCAACCTTTTTCCTTTTGGTAATTCCATAATATCCCAAGTTTTGTTTTTCTCCAATGCTTCCATTTCTACCTTCATAGCTTTCTCCCATTCTTTATTTCCTAATGCTTCAGACAAATTTCTGGGGATAGGAATTGTGTGGAGGTTACAGAGAATAGCTTTATGACTTGGGGATAGATTTTGATATGTCACGGAGAGGCTCAAAGGGTGTTGTGTGCAAGTTCTGGTTCCTTTTCTGATTGCAATGGGAAGGTCAAGGACATTAGGTTGGTTAAATTCTTCTTCATGATCAGTTTGGTTTGGTGTTTCTGACGGTTCAACAAGTTCAGGATGGGTATCAGGAGCAGTAACCTGAGGAGATGATTGCAACCGAGTAGTTTGATCAGTTAGTCTCTTTCTTCTGGAATATACCTGCAATGGTAGATTATTTTCTAGAATTCCATTATCTATATTTGGATTAGGAGACTCAATGGGTTCATTTGGATTTAGAGACTCAGGTGACTGTAGCAATGGTGACTCAGGCAAGAATTTGGCACGACTAGAAATGGACAAATCAAATAGTGACAAGTCTAGAGGTTCCTTTCCTTTCAGTGACTCCCCCTGATTGTAAGAATGATTAAAAAAGGATTCACTCTCATCAAATGTGACATCTGCGGAAATAAAGAATTTCTTTGATGATGGTTGATAACACTTGTAACCTTTTTGAGTAGGAGAATATCCTATGAAAACACACTTAAGAGCACGTGGGTCTAATTTGCCTCTATTTTGAGAATGAATATGAACATAGGCAACACTTCCGAAGATTCTAGGAACCAACTTATTGGAAATTTCAAAATTTGGAAAGAAATTCCTAAGAGTATCAAGCGGACTTTGAAAGTTCAGAATTCTTGATGGCATTCTGTTACTAAGATGTGCAGCAGTTAGGACAGCTTCCCCCCAATACTGTTTTGGCACCTTTTTGTGAAACAATAATGATCTAGTAATGTCAAGTAACAGACCATTTCTTCTCTCTACTATCCCATTTTGTTGAGGAGTATTGACACATGAAGATTCATGAATAATTCCCTCTTTTTGGAAGAAAACAGAGAGGTTTTGATTGAAGTAGTCCTTGGCATTATCGGATCGAAATCTTTTAATTGGCACATCATATTGGGTTTTGATCATATTAAAAAAGGTAGGAAGAATTTGACTGACATCTGATTTTTGCTTTAGCAAATAGATCCACGTAACTCTTGTACAATCATCAATGAATGATACAAACCATCTAGCACCAGAAATATTAGGAATGGAAGAGGGTCCCCAAATATCACTATGAATAAGAGAGAATGGAGTTTGACATCTTTTGTGACTAATTGGAAAGGAAGTACGTTTGTGTTTTGCAATTTCACAATCATCACAATGAAAAGACTCAACAATCAAATCTTTGAACAAAGATGGGAACATCCTTTTGATTACATAAAAGGAAGGGTGACCTAACCGACGATGATAAAGCCATACTTTCTCTTTATTGGACATGATAGATTCAGACAAGAATGAACTAGACAAGGAATTCTTAGATATATATTCACCATTGTGGAAATCCAAACAATAAAGACCACCTTTCTCACTAGCACGCCCAATCATCTCCTTCGTGTTCTGTTCCTGAAATAAGCAATATGAAGGGAAGAAAGTTACTTGGCATTTGGAATCTTTGGTGAGTTTCTGGATAGAAATGAGATTTGCAGATAACTTTGGGATATGAAGGACATCTTTAAGTATCAAGGATTTTCCAAGTGGTATGTCTCCTTGCCCAGCTACAGTAATAACTGAACCATCAGCTATAGTTATTTTTTTATAGCTAGGACAAGGGGAATATGATATGAAGAGATGAAAGAGACTGGTCATGTGATCAGTTGCCCCGGAATCAACCACCCACGTTGGAGAAAGTTTGTCTGAGACATTAGTAATAAAAGAGTAAGAAATACCTGTAAAGGCCAATGAACAACTACCTGTTGAAGCTGAATGTTGCAAATCTCCAATTGAAACTGTAGAGTTATTCTCTATGGTTGCAAAAACATTTTCAGAGACTGGAATATTTGCAGCAGTACCATTTTCAGACATGGTTTGGGCAGATAAAGATAGCAAAATGGGATTTTTCAAGATAGGATGAATAAAATTGGCCAGGAATAAGCCTAAAGCTCTGATACCATGTGGAATAAGATTATTGAATAATTTCATTCATTTCTTTCTATGTCATGTACATGGCTTTATATATACATAAAAGATTGTGGAATAGAATCACCTAAATCTTTACATTAAGAGAAAGAATCAGAGATGTGATATTCTAGATTACCACAATTATACTAAGATCTTAGAGGATCATATCTTGATATGAAGAATATCTTCTCATCTTAGAGGATCACATCTTTGATGACAAGAATATCTTCTTGGAAATCCTCCATCAGCCAACACTTTTAAATAAGAACAAAATATTAGATACTAGTTTGATCTCAAACTGAGTGTCAACTTCAACTGCGTTTCTGAGAAGCTGAAGGCAGGAAGATTGAAACTCCATAATAAACTCCATGAGTGATCTGAGGTTCAAGTTACACACTCATTAAAGTGCCAAGGGCCAAGCGAGTCTACAGAACTAGTGAGCAGGAAAGTTGTATGTAAAAGTTACCGTCTCAAAATATTTTTTTTGGGCGTGAATATTTTTATACATTTTTCCGGAGTTAAATTTCAGAAATCATGTTTGTCCATTAAATTCAGAAATTCTAAACACTAAAAGTTGTTTTCACTCCAAATCACTCGAAAAAATAAAAAACAACTCCGATTTGTATTCATAGCAAAACACAACTCCAATTTCCAAATATCATTGTTCACTTTGAAAAAAAAAGAAGTACTTTTTTCAAATTTCACAATTTTTATGGCCAAACGAGCTCAGAATAGATCAACCGATCAAGGTCGATATAATTCCTAGAATAATGAGGACATGTACACTAGTTTCTCTCTCCTTCACACACACTAGGTTCAGTTTAACTACTAAAGAATTATGCAGAATGGATCAAGGCCACTGCAACTTTTTTTAGAATTTTGAGGGCATGCAGAACTCTCCCGGTGAATAGGTGTATCATCTATCAAATGTAAGTGATTCCATGGAATTTCTAAACTTGTTCTAGCAATAAAAAGTTTAGCATCAGCTCAATACTTGACGAATTCCATAGCAACAACTGAGACTAAGATTAGCATGAAAAGTGGCAAGATTGCATAAATTTCGTTACGGGGAAATCAAGTCCTGATTTGCTCATAAATCTATGTAAATGAACTGAGAAGTGTCCAAGTCTTTTTAAAGATGAAGGTGACCACATTGAAATTCAAACATAAAACTAGAGAACAATAATTGATAGTTTTGACCAACTGCAGAACATCATCCAAAGATGTGTATCTTGACAAGGCAAACATGTAAATGATAGTTGCATATTAGCTAAAGAAACATCAAAATAACAACAGCATCAAAAGCAATTTCAGTAGAAGCATAAAGATAAATATTCAAAAGCCTTCTGTCAGCAGGTAATGACAGAATATTTTTGTGAAACAGGCTAAGGAGAAAAAACAAAAGGTGTGAACTTTTGCTCTATTCATTGAAACTGAGTAACTATGTTTTGTCAGTAGAAGGAAAAGGGATGTGAAATCAACAGTCTCATGTTTCTTGACAGGTTTCAGTCAAAAGAATGTTTTAAGTGGCATACTGCTCCTAGTACTCCATGAATTTGGTGTACACCCAAGGCAGGTTGAACCGTTGAAGAGAAAGGATCCTCCTGAATCTCAAGCTTAGCTTTACATCGATGATTGGGTGGAGTTTGTAAAGAATAATATTGTTTTGTAGATTATGTACCTTTTGGTATACCCCTGTATACGGCTATTTATGCCATGTTTATGAATGAAAATACTTTTACTTGATAAAAAAGAAAGAACTACCTCATCTTCCGTCAAAGGATGTGATTCTTTCTTAGCCTGCTGATGACGAATTTCATAATCTGTCATGAGTTTGACTGCCTCAAGCGACATTAGAAATGAAGCATTCGCCAATTCCCATGTGGCATGACTGTAGTCAAGATCTGTCCATTTCACAAGCCACTCATAATGGCAATCTGCATCATCATCCAGAACTGCTAACTTCCTCTTGTCTAGCAAACGATGAGGAAGACTCCACTCAGTTTTCCAACTTGCACTCTGGAGAAATCATCATAGAGCTTTCAAAGGTGACTTGCAGAAGAAAGAAGGCAAGAAAAGATTATGATAATCATTGTACCTTGTGATTTTTCTTGAATCTCGTAAGGGCTATTGGAGCCTCAAGACGCACCTGCTCCTCTGTAATCCAGCAATTATGAACATGAGCAAGACCTTTGTACTTCACTAAATACTCCCGCTTTTGCACCACTGGTTCCATATTAGAAAAGTACAAATAGACCAACCGATGTCACACTGTAGAACGTAATCAAAACAAGATATAAGAAAAATTGTAGATAGCATGTACCTTCATCACCCAAACTAAGCTGTCTGGCATCCAAAAGGGACTCTATTCCTTCAGATATAGCATGAACACCTAATTTCATCTTTTTTCTGATACACCAATAACAGTGCCATGGTCCAGGTGGAAAATAGGTCACAGGGGGGACAAGACAAGTAAGATGGAAGTTCCTTTTACATCCTCTTCCAGTACAGCATCTGGAAAAAAAAAAGGAGATGTGATGCTCAGGTACAAAACCAAGAAGTAGCTAGAGGCTATTATATCAGGTTTGTTACAGAATGTATATAGATCAATTTCTTGATAGTGTACAAAGATAGATAGATAGCATATCTTTAGGATTTCCTCTTTATTTCTTTCCTTAGTTAGCTTCTAATGTTATTGTATTTTACCTATTGAATAAGATACAAGTTATTCTCTCCAATTCCTTGCACAAAAAGCGCCCACGAGTTAGCTAGAGCCCTCTTCACTTTTTTCCGCTTCTCACTTCCCAAAACACTGGCATGGAAAGGTTTGTCATTTGAAGAAGTCCTTGTATGGCTTGAAACAGTGTCCTCGAGCTTGATGTGGAAAATTTAGCGAGGTAGTTTAGGAGTTTGGACTCAAAAAGGGCAAATGTGATTAGGGATGGCAATGGGGCGGGGCGGATGCGGGGCGGGCGGAGCGGGTTTAAGGTTGTGTGGGTGGGTCGGATGCGGGGTGGATTGAAGTGGGTTTTTAAAAAAATTAATGTGGGGTGGGGCGGGTTGCAGGAATATGTGATTTTATGTGGGTTCAAACATAATTTTAACTTTTTACATGTTATAAGAGTGATAGAGCATTATTTATTAAGATAATTTCATTAAAGCTACTAAAATATTCAACATAATAAATGAAAATGGTTCAATAAAAAATAATACAATTTCTTACTTGTTTCCCAATTGACCTCTAAAAAATAAAATTTTAAGTCACTATCCTATTAAATTAATATAACTTAATGAAAACTGAATTTATTTTTAGTATCAAACATAACTAGAAAAAGAAAATATTAAAAAAATTATGCGCGGCGGGTTGAAAATGAAAAGAGTTGTTATGCGGGGCGGGGCAGGGTGGATTAAAAATTTTTGCGGGTTAAGCACAACCCGCACCACCCCCGCCTTACAACACCCCATTGCCATCCCTAAATGTGATCATTCTGTCTTTTACAGGCAATCTGATGCTGGAACTATTCACCTTGTTGTATATGTCAATGACATTGTCACTACACAAAGTGATTTTGTAGGTATCTCTTCTCTCAAGTCTTTCTTACCTACTAAGTTTCATACAAAAGACTTGGGACAACTTAAATACTTCTTGGAAATAAAAGTATCTAGAAGCAAGAAAGGAATTTTTCTATCTCAGACTACCAGCAGAAACCGAAAAGTTGGCTGCCAAACCTTGTAGCTCCAATGGTTCCTAATGTGCATCTTATGAAAGATGATGACCATCCATTTGAAGATCCAGCGCTATACAGAATGTTGGTTGGGAAATTAAATTATATCATTATGACTTGTCCAGATATCGCCTTTGCAGGAAGTGTGATTAGTCAGTTCATGTCCACACCCACAGTCAGACATTGGGCAACTTTAGGACAGATCTTATGCTATTTAAAAGGAGCCCCTGAACTTGGCATATTGTATAGCAATCATGGACACTCTCACATTGAGTGTTTCACAGATGCAGATTGGACTGGATCCAAGATTGATCGAAGATCTACTATTGGTTATTGTGTTTTTGTAGGTGGAAATTTGGTGTCATGGAGAAGTAAGAAACAAAACATTGTATCTCGATGGTACGCACTCGAAGCCTATGTTCACTAGATAAATTGAAAAGGGTATGGTAGTGATCTCATTCCATGCATTGCACATTTTGTTCATCCAAGCTGCGTAGAGCTAGGTTCAAGATCGGAAATTCCTTTCTCTTTTTTACCATCTAAAATCGAAGAAAAGAAAAAAGGGCGAGATAAACAAATAAAGAGCTAACTAATCCGAGTATAGAAAAATGGCACATTCTACATGTGAAATCATGTGGATACATCATCGTTTAACTGAAATTGGATTGAAGCATTCTACTTCATCAAAAAATTGGTGTAATAATTAGGTTGCCCTTCATATTGCTTCAAATCTGGTATATCATGAAAGAACGAAACATATTGAGGTTGATTGTCATTTTATTTGTGAGAAGATTCAAGAAAACTTAATATCTATGGGCAACGTGAAGATAGGAGAACAAGTAGCTGATTTGTTCACGAAGGCATTGCATGGAGCTCGAGTTGATTACCTTTGCAACAAGCTAGGCATGATCAATATACATGCTCCAGCTTGAGGAAGAGTGTTACGGAATGTATATAGATCTATTTCTTGATATTGTACAAAGATATAGATAGATAGCATATCTTCAGGATTTTCTCTTTATTTCTTTCCTTAGTTAGCATCTAATGTTATTATATTTATACATGTTTACCTATTGAATAACATACAAGTTATTCTCTCCAATTCCTTACACATAACTTCTTTTATCCTTCTGGAAACAGACAGCACTTTCCCAAGCAGTTGTACCTTCTTCACTATAAGAATCCTTCAGCATTATAAGGTTCATGCCGAGAGATCCAATTCATTAAGGGACATCCAATTTCAAAGAACCAAACACAAAATAATTGAACATTGTCACCGACAAGTCATTGCTAAAAGTGTGGATGCTCAAGTTCTTTATGGTTTCTATTGGATGCTCAAGTTCTTTCACAATCATAATGACAAATAGTGCCAGAATTACATATAATCTCTTTCAGCAAACATTCCAAGTCTTTCAAAACCAAGGCAGCTAAAATAAAATGGTCTTAATGTGTTTCTGATTATTCTCCTTTTTCATTTATAGCCAAGACATCTGTTGTTCTCAGCTTCGAAAAACGGTGGGGTAATGGATCTACTCTCCTACCTTTCTCCACTAAACCACCAGACTTGGTTCAGAAGGCAGAATTCATACTGGTGACATGCTCTTAACGCATCTTGCTTTGTAATACCTTTCCCGTTAGACCAAGACCCTGGAAACATTGACTATTTTCCTACTTCAACTACAGCTTTTTGATGCATTGTGTAGATTTAAATTTTCAAAAGATTAAATAAGAAACTATGAGATAACTTTATAAAGATATTGGGTTACATGATATTTCCTCTGTTTAACTTTTGATATCTCTATATTGTGTGGATTATTTTTTTCTTTCTACTGAGTGAAGGTTGGGGGGACGAGGGGTGTCAAGAAAATTTAAAACCAACCACACCAATGGAAACAAGCCTAACTAAACCATATTTGTTTTCATAGGTTCCCGTATGAGCCTATAACCATACTGAATCATTAGGTTCATTTTTCATTTAGAGAACTTAATCATTAGGTTCAAATTTTACTTGCATAAAACATTAGTATTTTGAGCCTTCGCAGGTATCAAGACTTTTACATACCTATATTTTTTTTTGAGAAGGTAACATGCCTATATAGATTTACCAATTTAAGTTAACTATTGAATGATTCACATAATTTACTCTTCTTTTCTGTTATTTTTCTTATTGTTGTTAAGAAATAGAGTGGTATAGTTTCACTATTTGGAAAGTACAACAATTAAAGTAGTAGAGATATATTCCAAATGAAAATGTGCAACTTCGCATTACCTTTTCTTGTAAGGTAATGGTAATTTTATTCAAGCAAATACCAAGAAGGTACCAAAAGTACTTCCCATTACCTTTTTTATTTTACTTGTGCTCTATGCTATACAATATTGAATTAGCCCCTTATGACTGTGAATTGAAGGAATAAACGGATGAAATCAAGAAATAATTCAACTAATTCGTACCAACAAACTGAAGAATGGGGGAGTCGAACTCTTTTCAATATATTCTCCGGTTGTCTTTGTGAGAAATATATACGAAAAATATTATTGAATTGTGTATCTAAATAGTTACATTGAGACCCTATTTATAGACACTACATTGGAATCCTTTTCCAACTAGGATTCCTATTCTTATTCCTATTCCTATTCCTATTCTTATTTCTATTCTAAGTAGGAAATACTTATTTCTATTCTAACACTCCCCCTCAAGCTGGTGCATACAAATCATATGTACCTAGCTTGTTACAGATGTAATTAATACGAGGACATGTGAGGGACTTGGTGAAGATATCTGCAAGCTGATCATTTGACTTCACAAATTTCGTAACAATATCTCCCGAGAGTATCTTTTCTCTGACAAAGTGACAGTCAATCTCAATGTGCTTAGTCCTTTCATGAAACACTGGATTTGATGCGATATGAAGAGCCGCTTGATTATCACACACAAGTTCCATCTTATCAACTTTGCCAAATTTTAGTTCTCCCAGCAACTGTTTGATCCAAACTAGCTCACAAGTTGCTGTCGCCATTGCTCGATATTCTGATTCTGCACTAGATCGAGCAACCACATTCTGTTTCTTGCTCTTCCACGACACCAAATTACCTCCTACTAAAACACAATATCCGGATGTCGAACGTCTGTCAGAGGGTGATCCTGCCCAATCAGCGTCTGTATATCCAATGATATGCTCATGGCCTTGATCCTCAAAGAGTAGTCCTTTACCGGGAGCTAACTTTATATATCGCAGAATACGAACAACTGCTTCCCAATGACTATCACAAGGGGAAGTCATAAACTGACTTACAACACTCACAGGAAAAGAGATGTCAGGTCTAGTCACTGTGAGATAATTCAACTTTCCAACAAGTCGTCTATACCTTTCAGGATTACTAAGTGGCTCCCCCTGTCCTGGAAGAAGTTTAACATTCGGATCCATAGGAGTGTCAACAGGTCTACATCCCATCATCCCTGTCTCCTCAAGAATGTCTAAGGCATACTTGCGCTGAGAAATAACAATACCTGATCTAGACTGAGCAACCTCAATACCTAGAAAATACTTCAATCTGCCAAGGTCTTTAGTTTGGAAGTGCTTAAAGAGATGTTGCTTCAAATCGGTGATACCATCTTGATCATTACCGGTGATAACAATATCATCAACGTAAACAACCAAATAGATACATCGACTTGGTGCAGAATGCCGATAAAACACAGAGTGATCAGCTCCACTACGAGTCATGCCAAACTCCTGAATTACTGTGCTGAACTTCCAGAACCAAGCTCGAGGAGACTGTTTTAGACCATAGAGTGACCTGCGCAATCGACATACAAGGCTACTAGACTCCCCCTGAGCAACAAAACCAGGTGGTTGCTCCATATAGACTTCTTCCTCAAGATCACCATGCAGAAAAACATTCTTAATGTCCAACTGATGAAGAGGCCAATGACGAACGACAGCCATAGATAGAAAAAGACGAACAGATGCAATTTTAGCCACAGGAGCGAAAGTGTCACTATAATCTAGCCCAAATATCTGAGTATACCCTTTGGCAACAAGGCGAGCCTTAAGTCGATCAACCTGACCGTCTGGACCAATTTTGACTGCATAAACCCAACGACAACCAACAGTAGATTTACCTGCAGGAAGGGAGACAAGCTCCCAAGTACCACTCTTATGTAAAGCAGACATCTCATCAACCATAGCCTGCCTCCATCCAGAATGAGAAAGTGCTTCACCTGTAGTCTTAGGAATGGAAATAGAGGACAAAGACGACACAAATGCATAATGGGGTGATGATAGACGATGATAACTTAAGAAGGTATAATGTGGGTTAGTATTTCGAGTGGATCGTATACCTTTTTGAAGTGCAAGCGGTTGGCTAGGAGGAGGCAAGTCCGCAGTAGGAGCAGGGTCTGGCGCATGACATGAATCATCTGGGACTAGGGTTGGACGTGGACGGCGATGATAAGTTAGTAGTGGTGGCACTACAACTGGAGATGTAGAAGTAACCGTAGATTCCACAAAGGTTGGCACAGGTAAAACCTGAGGTATGGGTAAGACCATAGAGACATCAGGATGATCAGAAGATGTATAGTAAGGTTGAGACTCAAAAAATGTAACGTCAGCAGACATAAGGTATCGATGAAGATCATGTGAATAACAACGATACCCTTTTTGGACTCGAGAGTAACCAAGAAAGACACATTTGAGGGCACGAGGAGCTAATTTATCTTTTCCTGGGGCTAAGTTATGAACGAAGCATGTGCTCCCAAAGACACGAGGAGGGATAGGATAGAGATGTGACTGAGGAAACAGTATGGAATGGGGAACCTGATTCTGAATAGAAGAAGAGGGCATTCTATTTATCAAATAACAAGACGTAAGAACTGCATCTCCCCAAAAACGCAATGGAACATTGGATTCAAGGAGAAGAGTACGAGCGGTCTCAATAAGATGCCGATTTTTTCTTTCAGCTACACCATTTTGTTGAGGGGTGTATGGACAAGTAGTCTGGTGAATAATGCCTTGGTGAGTCATAAACTCCCGAAATTGGGAGGATAAGTATTCTAAGGCATTATCACTACGAAAAGTACGAATAGAAACACCAAATTGATTTTGTATTTCAGCAAAGAAACTTTTGAAAATAGAAAATAACTCAGAACGATCTTTCATTAAGAAAACCCAAGTACATTTTGAATAATCATCAATGAAACTAACAAAATAACGAAATCCTAAGGTGGAACTGACTCTACTAGGACCCCAAATATCAGAATGAACTAATGAAAAAATAGACTCTGAACGACCCTCAGTACTACGAGAAAACGTAGCACGAGTGTGTTTCCCAAGTTGACACGACTCACAATCTAATGTGGATAAACTAGATAAACTAGGCACCATCTTTTGCAGTTTGGATAGACTCGGATGTCCCAAACGTTTGTGAATTAAATCTGGGGAATCTGTAACGGAGCATGCTGCTAAGGAATTTGAAGAGGTAAGATAGTAAAGGCCTTGTGATTCATGTCCTGTTCCAATCATCTGTCCTGTACTGCGGTCCTGCATGAGAAAAAAATCATCGAAAAAAGTTATGCTACAATGTAGGGCTTTCGTCAAACGACTAACAGATGCTAGATTAAAAGGAGAACCAGGGACATAAAGAACAGAGTCTAGGGTGACAGAAGATAGGGGTTTGGCTTTTCCAACCCCTTTTGGTTTGGTTTGGATCCCATTGGCTAAAGTAATAGCTGGAAGAGATTGTGAATAAACAATATCGGATAAAAGTGATTTATTACCAGAGATATGATCAGAAGCCCCAGAGTCCATGACCCATGTTCCAAGAGTACTAGATTGCGACACACAAGCAAAAGAATTACCCGCAACAGAGACATCAGGTTGTGCAACCGAAACTACTTGTGGAGACGTTTGCTTATTTGCACGATACTGAATGAACTCATCATATTCTGTCTGAGCAATATGAGCATTATTGGATGGTTGATTAGGTTGAGCACCATATGCTACTGGTGGAGATGTCTGTTTACTTGCGCGATTTCGAAGGAACTCATTATATTCCTTTAGAACAATAGGATCATAACTGGGTGGTGGACCATGCAAAATATAACATATATCACGAGTGTGTCCAGGCTTATGACAATGACTACACTTGGATCGAGGTTTCCCAAAACGCCCTCCTCCTCGCCGATTCTCCATAGATTGATATGTACGCTTTTCAAAGGTTTGAGATGCAAGAATAGATGAGTCAACAGTGGGTGATGAAACTACCTTGTGACTGGGAGGTGCCGCAAGACGAAGGAGACGAGAGAATAATTCATCAATTGTAGGAACTGTAGGGCTAGCTAAAATCTGATCACGTACAGAATCATGATCAGGAGGAAGTCCAGCAAGAGTAAGAACTAGAAACAATGTTTGTCTGTGTTCTTGTTGTTTTTCCACATTCGTAGTAACTGGCATTAATGTGTCAAATTCCTCCATGACTGCCTGTACCTGTCCTAAGTAAGTAGACATATCGGATTCTTGTTTCTTTAAGTTGGTCAATCGAGATATCACATCATAGAATCGAGATATGTCATTAGTGTATAAAGCACGAGCCTTTTCCCAAACTGTATAACACGTCTGGAATGGGCGAAACAAGGGCATCAACTTGAAATCAATAGAACGCCATAGGAGACTACATAATTGAGCATCTACTTTCTCCCATTGTGCTTTGGCTTTTGCATCTTCCTCACTAGTCTTTGCCTTTACATCTACCTCATAAGCCTTGTTCGTTAAGTGATCTTGGACACCTTGACCCTTGCACCACAACTCAACCGAGGAAGCCCAAGATAAATAGTTTGAACTTCCCAATAAAAGTTCTGAAGTGATTATAGGGCTAGAACTTCCAATCCCCATATTTTTGGAACCAAAAACATCACACCCAAAAGACATTATGCTAAATTTGTCTCGGAAAATTCAAATCTCGAAGAAAAGTCGCCGGAAACTGCCTGGAAATAGCTGGAACTCTAATTCCGGCGATCGGATCTGGTCAAAAACAGTATGGGCCTGGTCGGATTGGCTGGACGACCCCAACTGTCAAAAAAATCTCAAAAAAATATGATCAGAAAAGCCCTCACGCGCCGGCGCGTGAGACAGATCTCGCCGGAAACTGCCACCTCCGATAGGCGCGTGAGAGCGCGTGGGGTGGTGTTTTTCGGTGGTTTTGGCTGGGGTTTGGTCGCGGGGGCTTTCCGAGCCTCGTGGTGGTGTTGGTTTTCGCACAACACCCACAGAAAGAAAAAAGTATAACAAAATCAGACCCAACAGTCACCGGAAATTGACATAGACATACGGTGACTTGTTTGTTCTCACCAATGCTCTGATACCATGTGAGAAATATATACGAAAAATATTATTGAATTGTGTATCTAAATAGTTACATTGAGACCCTATTTATAGACACTACATTGGAATCCTTTTCCAACTAGGATTCCTATTCTTATTCCTATTCCTATTCCTATTCTTATTTCTATTCTAAGTAGGAAATACTTATTTCTATTCTAACAGTCTTAAATGAGACAAAGATGAGTGAAAATAATTAATTTCATCAAAATCCATTACACTATCAGGTTTTTTTAATCCTTCTTTTCTTCAGTCACCTAATTTTAGTTTGACTTTTCTTAATGTATGTTCAACCGAATAACATCAATAAGAAGCAATACTTTCAAATGATGTAACCTTGATAGTTGAGGCATGATGCACCCTATAAAAATCATAAAAAACTTTAGAAAGTAGGTTTGTTTTAAAAGTAAATGTTACTCGGTTCATTTTTTTTCTTAAAAAGAGCATTGGAACTTTTTATATGTTATATTGAAGTTGATATGTATTTTGTAACAAATAGCAATCCCAGTAACATTTATATTCTTATTCAACTTAAATTTAAAGGACCAAAAATTATCCAAGCCGAATTGAAACCCAAGAGAAATCAGGATGATTGGAGTGGTTCGAAAAAGTTTAATTTTGGTTATACACATTAAGATACTTTTAAAATGGTATGATATAAATTTCTTGATATAATCGGTCGAACTAAAACCATTGACACCCTAGAAGAGTGAGAGAAATAGACGCAAAGCTTACAGTGGGCTATGGCTCATAGTTCTTTTTTTCTCAAACTTTTAGAACAATGATGTACCTGGATTTACAATGAAGTAACTAATGGTGTTTGATTAACTCACAATAGATTTCCTTTCTGCTTGCATATTGAACAGTCCTTAGATTCACCTCCACTCTTATCATCCTGTTTGGAGCCCACACAATTCGCATCATGAGTCCTGTCAACTTTAAGCTCTGCTTTAAAAGGCTCAGTGACCTTTTTGTCCTACAAAATATAGAAGACAAATTATCAGTTAGTTTATATTGTCCAAGATAAAAAAAAAAAACATGACAATCAGCCTCCCAAAAAAACATTTTGCATCACTTCCAGAAGGAAAGATTAGGCCAAAGATTAAAAGACCAATATAGCAGCAGCAACAAAACTTTTCAAAATGTCTGTTGTACAGGTTCTTATTAGTCTCCCTTAGAACCCTAAAATTTACATTCCAACTTCACATGGTGCCTTCCATAAAACCTGTTAACAGGAATATTTGTGTTCTCTTTAACAGGGGTGTTGTATTCTCCTTATGTCCGAAAGACCTTAGTATATCAGACCTCTTTGAGCACGAAAAACTCTATTAGTGTACATAATAGAAGGAGATATCTGAAGATGAAAGAGCATTCAGTGGTTAAAGTAAAGCTAAAAAGATTTTAAGAACTTCTCTCAGACTATAAAATGTTTAAAGACACTACCAATATTTGCTACATGAAAAACATAAAACTTGAGGGGAAATATATTTCTTGGAAAAGCAAGCAATCAAACAAAGAAACAACAGAAACAACTGCATCAAACATTTCACTTGTAGTCTAGAAAGGAGAATTGAAACAAGGATTTGAAAGACTGCAAACAAGAGTAAAACATTATCAGAAACCCGGTTGTATGCACTGCAATAAAATACCAAATAATAGGGATGCTTAAACCACTTCTGTGTGGGAAATAGAAGATTTAAAGTGTAAAGACTGCAATCATGAGATCAAAATTAATTGATATTTTCCATTACCTCATTGGAGATAAGAAATTATTTTTTGCAGCTCGAAAAGACCGTAAGAATATCTTCCATAGTATATGGCATGTAAGTATGTCCATAAACACAATGGAGTTGCACCAAATTTTCAAACTACCAAATTAACCTACCATTTTGACATTTTAAAGTTTCTGTCTAGTTCAGGTTACTTATTGTCCTAATTTAACAAAAAAATAAAAACTGCTTAAACGAGCAGCCAAGTATCATCATTTTGTCTCATTGGTACGTTTCCTTCATCATAGTTTACTAGGTAAATGTTGGTTAATGGTTTCTTTAAAAACAAAATGTGATAACAATAGTGTTCAGGCCAATTTGCACACTCCTCGATTATTAAACCAAATGTTTGCATCCTACAACAAATACAAATAGCAGTTAACTTTGCACACCAAGCTTAGGTAAATAGGAAGATATCACCAAACGGTTTTGCCTCTGCGAAGATATGTCCATTAATTACCATAATATATATTCCAAGTTTCATCGACCACTAGGCAACACCCTTGCATACCTAACTTTCTAAATTAATTTTAAAAAAATTCTGTAAAGTTCGAAGATAAAACTTCTGTCACCTACCATAGTTGAAGACACTTAACCTATCAAGAAATATAAATAGGAAGTACCTCCTTTGTTATCTATCGACTATCATGTAAATTTGATCTAAGGTACTTTAATCAAAAGATTTGGTTCACCTTAAAGATTTGATTGATATAGGTTCTATCATAATTGGGTTATATATTAAACCTAAAGCTACTAGTAAAGGTTCAGTCAAACATCACTTATGCATTTTTGGAAATACCAGCACTTGTGCGAACTTCATAATAAATTAACATGATTTTTTGACATTGCAACTGTAAGCACACCAAACGAAACCTTTCTATCCATTAAAACTGATTAAAAGAGGAAACAGTTGAAGATCAATCTTAGACATTTACTGACATTCTCCTTTGATGAACAAATTTGTTTCTCTCTTCGATCATCCACCCTGAAAAAGAATAAGAACACAATAGACTGGAATCACAACAATGAATATGGAAAAAAAAAAAGACAAACAGAGAAATACTCCATAACAACAACAATTGCGCCTCAATGCCAAACAAGCTGGGTCAGCTAGATGAAAGAGTTTCAAAATAGAAAAGTGAACTCACTAAGTAGTCGAAGGGGTTCAAAATACTGTTTTACAATATATAAACAGTATAATTTTTTTCCTAGGAGTCGGATAAACTCCTCAGCCCTACCTGGCTTCGTGCCTGGATGAATACCCATTTCTTCATTTACGCTCATTTATGACTGATTATGCATGAAGATTCTCGGATAATAGTGCGCAAGATAAGCTAGAGAATTACAAAACATGCAAAAAAAAACACATAAACTGCAGAATCAAAATCTCCCACAACAAATTAGCTACTTAATAACCAACTGTTCTGCAGCTTCATTTTGGTTGGTAACAAAAGCAAGAAGTACAAATATTAATATTTTGTTTGGCACATAACCCCAAATACTCCAAACCAAAAAAAATATTATTTTTATATTTATGTACAAAAAAAAAATTAGTAGGCATAAATAATTTATATAAAAATCATTTAAAAAAATTGATCCAAAATTCATAAACTAAAAATCTAACTCCTCCTCTAAAGCACATACCTGTGTGCATTTACTTCTTCCACCTTGTGTTCTTGCTCTTGAGCCGATTGATCCTCCTTTTTAGCAGCATTTTCTGAACAGGGTTTTTTTTAAAAAAAAAAAATGAAAAAATATATTATTCCACTGATTAGACCTTTTAAGAAAGTGATAAAATCTACTGTTTCATACATATATTTATTTATTAAAAAAAACAAGTACAGTGCTTTTCCAAAAAAAATAAAAAATCACCAGAGTGTTTGGATCTCTGTTGTGCTCGTTGTTTTAGCCTTTGTTTATAGCTGCGCCCAATCATTCTCTTCTTCAAATTACCCTCCTTGTTTTTCTCCATTGTTCTCAAATAAACTCAGCAGTTAACAGTCTCTATTGTTTGTTTGTTTAAGCGTCAATGGCGAAAACATTGGCTGTAGCCATAGCCAGATTTTCTCCTCCTCCGTACGCTTTTCTGCCACCTGCACAGTGCTGCCTACACTCCTTTCCGCCTTCAGATAGTGCTCTGCATCAACTGTGCATGCAGTTAATGGAGTGAGAGAGAAACTGTGTTAACTTTTTGAGAGATGGTTACTCAAATTTGTCTTTATTATATGAGTCACTAACACATTGTTTGAAGGATTGATATGCATTATATTGTATTGTTTAGTTTAAATTATATTTGTTTTTATTATGATTTAAATTTTATTATATATTTAAATTTATCATTAGGTAACAATAATCTTTAAAAATTGCTTATTATCTTAATATTTTCTTCGTATTTGTCTTTACTTATTATTTAATAATCATTTTTTATTCTTTACTTTACCTTAGCTCTAACTCATATTCTACTTTTTCTTTTAGATTTATCTTTCGAATTGTTAATATGTGACATTATATAACGACGAACAATAATACAATCCTTACAAACGTATATTTATTAAAATAATATAATACAATACATTATAACATAATACAATATATTATATATCGTATTGTATTATGTTAGTATTATTTGTTCATATTCAAAAGATAATATATATCTTAAATATTTAATTCAATATCATTTATAAAGCTTCTTATTTGTCTACTATAAATTTTAAATAACTAACTTTTATTTTTAAAATTTCATATAATCTTATGATTGCAATTGTGCGTACATGTGTAGTTACGCTGTAATTACATTATGGTAAATAAGCAAGTTAGTATAATTGTTAGATTATGTAATTATTAGGCTGATAATTACAGATTTGGCTACCCTCCATTACATTTTCCCTCCCTTTTTCCGTCAAGTACACTTCTAAATGACAGACATGTGTCCGATTTTTTAATTTTTAAAGGTTAAAATTACAGTATATTAATAAGTATTATAACCATAGTTAAATCAACAATTTTTTTTGGAAAACTATTCTCCAAATTTGCTAAAAACAAAATGTTCCTCACAAATTTAATATTTATTAATGTCATTAATTTCATCTTATATTTTTATATTCAAAAATTAAGAAGTAGAATATGAATCTAACAATATTTTTATTTAGTGTGATAAATACCAATCTTCAAAAATATTTTGGCTTTAATATGCTTTTAAAATTCACAAAAAATAACGAAGAAGATAAAAGAATATTTCTTAAGAATATTTTTTAAAAACATATATATTTCTTTTTTTTTCTTCTTCAAACACAGCAGCAACACTTTCTCCTAAACTTTAGAATTTTGATATTTCACATTTGTAATCTTGATAACATCTCAACTTTTTTATTATTATTTTTATTTCCCGTTCTTTTATTTTATAATTTTTGTCAACGTTGATAATTTTTCACCTTCTTTTTTTTTTCTCAACATAATATTTCAAAAATAAATTTTATTGGCACAATTTTTTTTTTGGATTCCCATCTTAAATATCACATAGTTTAATATTTAAATAAAAAAATATAAGATGAAAATAATGATATTAATGGATATTAAAATTTGTGTGGAATATTTTGTTCGTACTAAATTTGAAGAATAATTTACCAAAATTTGTTAACTTAATTATGGTTATAATGCTTATTAATATACTATAATCTTGACCTTTAAAAATTGAATAGGATACATGTCTCTCATCTAAAAGTGTACTTGACGAAATGGAGGGAAAGTGTAATGGGGAGCCAAGTACTACCCTAACAATTATACCAATTTCAATTATAGGTGACTTTCCAAACAAACTCTAAGAGAGAGAAATGTTAAAATTGTTAACAATTTGTTTTTTTTTTGTTTTTTTTTAATCTTATATTGACTAGCAAAATTAAGCAAACAGGGTTGATTATTACGATATCGGTAATTCTGAAAATTCAATATGGTGATCTAATCTTTTAACATATTCTTTAAATATTGCCTTGGAGAGAAATACAATTAGTAGTATTATTCAGAGCAAATATTGTAAATTTTTAACGATGTTACGGTATTTGTAGACATATTCAACTCATAATGTATTTCATGTAAGCTAATTGTTGTACTAATCGCAATCCAACCACAAAGTGGCCAGTAAAATTTGTGGAAGAACTAAGTTAAATAATACTACGGTCGCCCACACGATTTTATTCTAGTGGTAAGAGCACAACACGTGATGTGTGAGTTAGGCGTATACTGCTCTAAACAAAATCTTGATATTTAAGTAGAGAAGGGTAGAGGGAGCGAATCCATTCTCTAAGTTTTGTCATTTTTAATTTGTACTACCTTATAAACTTTCTTAGTTAAAGAAATAGCATCCACCCAAACCATTAAATCTTGAGGGAGTTACACACATATATATACTTCTTCACAATTTGCTACAAATGATCTTGGCTTGAACAAAGAAATGGTGGGCCTTAAGGATGTAATGGACAAACTAAGAGGTAGACTAAAAGAAGGATGTTCAAACCTTGATATCATTTCAATCGTTGGCCTGCCTGGAGCGAACTGTAGAGATCGAGATTCAAGTCTCAAAGTTAACATGGTTGTGGATATATATTCGTCAAATGGAGAAGCTTTTGGAGGATATAGGCATATAGCAAATGAGTATCTGTTGGACATCTTACCGAAATTAATACTTTATCACAAACACTTGTAAGGAATTCTCAAAGTTCTTGAGGATATTTCACCCAAAATAGGGTGATTTGCAAGCTCTTCCTCAACATATTTTTCTTGTAAGGAACATGTTGATATGATCTTGGAAAGGACACCAAAACTTTTCGAAAGATTCGATGTGAAGTATTGAAATTTGATGAACTAATCCCTGCATTTAACAAACTTACCAAGGCATTTACCTTGATAATCAATCAGTTGAATCAAGAAATTGACATGAATGTCCAATTTCGGCATAAATCTTGGTGAAGTTACAACTCTTTCAAATCCTGACGTACTCAAACTGCTACGAGTTACCATTAGTTCCAATACATGGAAAGTGAATACTGAGAAATTCGGCAAACTCAAATTCTCAGAATGGGATGATCATGCTTTTCCATGCCTTGAACACTTGATGTCGATTCCTTCTTGCTTTGAATACATGCCTTTCCAAAATTACATTGAGGTGTAACAAATCACTCACTTCTGGTTTTGAGGTCTTCATCTATAAGTAGATCAACGATGCTAGATAGCTCCAATACTATCATGTCTCGTATTGGTTATATATATTTTTGTTTAAACCATTATGCACGAGAATTTAACTTATTTATAGATTTTAAGCAGTTGTATCAGCTGAAGCAATAGGAAAGACCAATCGAGAAGCTTATATTATACTCTGCCACTGATTTTACTGCTTTCTTTACTTTTATGGATTGAGATACATTGTGTGTGTGTCAATGGTTAATCGATATTGTAATAACGGTGTTTTCATCTGTCAATATCAAGGTCTTTGACATGATGATTTTTTTTATCGTCCATTAGACGGACATTGTTGTCTCCGTATATGGTCTAGTGATGATGGGATAATTAATTTACAAGCAAGTCCACACTGTCGAGCAGGTTGTAGAAATAACATTGCCTGCTTACTCAATGTTTCTTGTGATGGAACAGAAGTAATTAAGAATGTTATATATCCAAACAAGGAACATCTTTCTCTGCTACAAACAATCCAACATCTTCCTATGGAATCATATCAGCAAATAGAAGAAACACAATGTCATCTGCTATATAACGGAGATATGCATCCGAATACAACAACTTCAACCAATCTTGGACTCCATCCAAGAGGGCACAAGCAAAAGATAACTCGCTGCCTGTCTTACGTAGTTAGATGATCTGAATAAATATATCAAACAGAGGATTGTCCTTGAAGTTCTCCCACATTGCTGCTCGAGCGCCTCTTGCATAGTGTTGCAATATATTGTTGCAACTCTGAATAGACAAGTTGAAAGGAATCAATCAGTTGGAGTGTCTAACCCGCCCCCTCTACCCTTTTCCACTTAAATACCAGACTTTTGTCAAGATCACGCTTCAAATTCATAACGTGCGTCTAATTCACACATCATTTACTACGCTCTTACCACTAGACGTCTAGACCAACCAGACATCATCTACTACGCTCTTACCACTAGACGTCTAGACCAACCACACCATTTACTACGTTCTTACCACTAGACGTCTAGACCAAAGCTAGGGGGCAACCTTGTTTAGTAGCACTACTTCCTCAAATTTTCTTAGGGTAATGTATGCATATACCCCATCCGATCAAGAACTTACTTGTGGGACTATAATAGGGCATGTTGTTGTAAAGTTAAAAAGATGAACTGATCGAACATTTGCCTAAAATCCGCCGATGAATTGGTTGGAACACCATAGAAATTGACTGAGATCCAAGAACTGATTGAAAGTTGAAACAATCAAGCAACGGGCTGTCTCAACAAGTTTGGGGGTCCAAAGTCAAATTTGATAGTGATGCCTTATTTTTATTTAGTCCTCATATATAAATTGAATAACTATAACATACTCAACGTAATCTTACAAGTGAATCTCGAGAATATAAGATGTACGCATACCTTATGTAGTAAGAAAAATTTTAATGAAAAAAATATACTATAAAGTTAGAATAATAAAACTTATCTAAAAAAGTTTAAAAGCTTATATAATGATATTGAAATAGTTGCTCTCAATTTGATAAGTTGCGTTGATATAATGATATTAAAATAATATAGATTTGTTGCCGTGCTTGCAATTTAAAGAATACTACACCATATTAAAAATAAGTTTGTTTTTTTATAATAAAAAACACAACAATTTTTTTTGCAAAATGCAAAAGATTTTATCATTTGGTAGACTTTATAATATTCAATAATGAGAGAATAAAATTAGAAAGGGGAATAAAAAGGGTGAATGAAGAATAATAATATGGGTTCATGATAATCG